ATCTTAGTTTGTACCTTTCCAAGCCTCATATGTTTTGCATTTGATTGTGAAGATTTATACGCATTCTATTATTTTTTTTCTTTTGGTAATTCAACGATCCTCCATTTATAATTTTTTTAAGACATTCATCTCAAATTTAATGGTTTCCTTCATGTTTCATTTTCTAGTACCTCAAATAGAATGTGGAATGAAAATGAAATTGGTGTTGATGTTTGTTAGAAATGTTTTATGAGGGAGAAAATTTATGAAGTTTTGCTATAAGTAGGACTGTTAATGATCTGAATTTGAGCTGAGCTGGGGCCAACACGAATGAATTGAGTGAGACCAAAAATCGGCTGGTGGCTTGTTATTTTCGATTTTGAGCTAGCTCAGCTCGAAATTGAATCAACCTTTGCTCGTTTCGAAGTTGAATCAAGCTCGATCTGGCTCAAAATCAAAATGTACTGGCTCAAATTATGTTATTTGGAAAACTATCTGTACCTTTCCTTTTATTAATATACTCGCCTTTGGGCTTTCTAATATATATGTATGTATGTATGTATATATATATATATATATATATGCAAAAATACTTTGAGCTGATCTCGAGCCAATTTGAGCCGATTTGTGTATGGCTCAAAACCAGCTCGAAAGAAATTCAATGCATGGTTTCAGCTCATAGCTTGGCTTGTTTATTTCGAAAAGATGTTGATCTGAGCCAAAATTTGAATCGATTTTTGAGTGATTAACGATCTTCGCGTTAAATTCACTGCTCTTGACTATGAGATAGGATATAAATAAATAATAGTGGGCTGATCATTACCTAATAACATTTCGGAGTCTTGGACTTGTTAGCGATCCTATTTGGGCTTGTTTCTTCTTGTATAGTTTTGAAGATTTATTATTGGTACAATTTTTGTCTTTATATAAAATTTTGAGTTTCAATATTTTCATGGTGAAAAATATCATCAAAGTTATTTTCAAGTTGAACTTCTCCTCTTGAAGAGGAGTTTAAGTTAAGAAAGTTGAGTTTCATTAAAATATCATCTATTGAAGTGAGATTTTTCTTTTTTATTGGTGGATGATAACACTTATATCTCTTTTGTGTGACAAAATATCCGATAAATACAAATTTGAGAGCTCTCAGATTAAGTTTTCTTCTGTGTTGTTTATGGATATGAACAATATCAATGCATCCAAAAATATTAATAGGGGTCTTTGAGAAGATTTTTGTTGGAAATAACTTTACCAAATAATTTAGGGATTTTTTGAATCAATTATTCTTGAGATTATTCTAATGATTAAATGGATAAATATTAGAATATTTGCTCTTCAATATTACCTTTGTATTTGATTATAGAGGAAAGTTCTAGTCATCTTCAATAGGTGGCATTTTTTTCTGTCACTTGATTTTATTGGGGAGTGTCAAGACATGAAGATTGATGTATAAAATTATTTTTTTGAAAGCAGGGGTAGACCTAGGAAGACTTGGGCTTATTGTATAAAAAATATCTTAATTTGTTAGAACTAAATGAAAATATGACACTAAATAGGACGCAATGGAGAAAAAGGATTCATGTAGCCGATCCCACGTAGTGGGATTAAGGCTTTGTTGTTGTTGTTGTATTTGTAAAGAAGATAATGTGTGATTAACATAATCACGTACATTATTAGTCTGAAAAAGCAATTGATGTGAGGATTGATTTTATTCTATATTATCACTACGAATCTAAAGTTATAGTGCTAACATCAATTTTTTTTTTAATTTAATGTACTCGTGTCATTCAAGTGCAATCATCAATAAACTTAACAAAACATGTGGCTCTAGAGATATTAGAGATTTTTAGAATGAATCAAAATAAAAGGACTAGATAATATATAGTTACTTTCAAAAGAAGGAACACAATAATGTTTAGGAAATTTGTAAGTTTCATAATGGAACTAATGATTGTATTTATGAAAATAAAGGAAGCATAAACCAAGGACTTCTAGAATAAGGATTCTCTAATCTTTAATAGTATGTCTAAATGATGCTAGTGGTATGAGAGATGAACGAGCATGACAACTAACCATGATTCTAAAAAATGTATAACTCATTGTTTTCTTTAGCCTTTTCAACTGTGTTCCCCATAGCAAGATCCTGAGAAACACAATGATTAAGAAAAAAGATGACCTTTCAGTTATGATCTATGGTAAAATTTTGGATAGACAAAAGTTTAACAACAATGAATTTAACATGTTATACATCACAAAGGGTTAAGTTAAGAGAATTGAGATTTCTTCCTATTTTGCAACAATTGTTAAGAATTCATCTGTAAGTTTTTATTTTTATATTGTTAGAACATAGTTTATAAGTTTAAAATATATTGACAAGGTTTTTCATGTGGTTAATGTCCTCTGAATCTAGGATACATGAGTAAAAAAAACTGTTAGAGCTATTAAATATGTAAGAATTAGAAACTGTATCATTCTGAGCGAAAGAGCAAAATCTTGATAGGTTCTCTAGGAATTAAGAAAATTCTTTAATTTGCCAATTTTTTTTTAATTGTGTTCTGCTGACTCTACTAGATACACGTATCCTTTTTTTATTTTTGTATTTATTTACTCCATAGGTCTTGGAGTTTCATAAAATTTTCAGCATTTATTTTTGATATGTCATTTCATTTTGCCATAATTGCATTTGAGATTGCATTTCAAAGAAGGCTTTTATTTTTCTTTTGGAGAAGGTTCTGTGATAGAAAGTCTCTTCATGGGATTCTTAAATTTTCATGGTAGACATTTCAATAATCAGATCATTGATCATCACTGTTCTTATTTCTCTTTAGCCCTCACGAGAGAGAATTCTCCATTCAAATAAGAGAGATTTTCTTTGCTTAAGATTTGGATTTGAATCTGGTCAAATTTATTAATGAGTTTTGTCAGAAACTTAAAAATATTCTCTTACTCTCTAAATTATCTGAGGATCATCGCATTCTCAAATCATGATATATTGAAATCTTAGTAGCAGTTTAACTCAAATCAGCAAACCTTCACGACATTAAAGTATTCAATGATATAAATGTTATCTTATTTGATAGTGGTGAGTTTTGTCTTGATTTTAGAGATGAGTGCAACATCATTCACTTTTGGGCATATTTGTTTAATTTTATCTCAAATCTCTTTCGCGATGGAGAGGGATATAAAATACTCATTGATCTTGGATTGCATGATATTCCACAACCATGTCATAGTTATGGACTTAATTTCTTCCCAAAATGGAAACTCTGAGTCTTTGGTCTCCGAAGGAAGATCCATAAGGGGTTAGATTTTTCCCTTTCATTTCAGAAAGATCATGATTTTAGAGCACTTGGTATAATTTTTTTTGTTCAAATAATGAAATGTTTGAAATCTCTAAATCTCACTGTTAGTATGATTTTTACCATTAATCATGGTCGACTCCTTTAAAGGGAAGTAAAAAAACTAGACACAATGAATGGAGAATTTGAGAAGAGAAATGAATATGGAAGTGAAAACCCTAACATTAGAGAAAAAGAACAAAAGTTGGAAGAAAAATCTTAACTCACTCGATACCATATAAAAATAAATCAATGGAGAATACTCTCAAAAATTATTTTATTGCACTTTCATTTTTTCAGAGCAGAGGTGTATATATCTTGAAGTGGCATTAAAAATAAGAATAAGTCAAAAGAGGGGGAAAAAATAAGAATTGGCCGACGATCCTATCTAGAAGCACAGGGTTTGCAATCTTTGCAATCCAAAGAGTGTAGAGATACAAGCACAGGGTTTGCAATCCAAAGAAGTGTAGAGAAATTGATACAACGGTGAAAGGGCTTGATCCATGTGCTTTTAAGTTTTTTGCTATGAGTGGAGAGTGAGTGGGCCCCATCACGTAAGAGAGAGAGATTGAACATTTTCTGTTTTGCATTTTCTTAATCATTTATATCTATACTTTGTAAAAGAAATAGTCTTAGATTTTCTTTCCTATTGCCAAATAGCTATCATAGCCCTTAATGTTAAACTTAATCCCATCCAAATTTTTCTTACCTCAATTTTCTTTTAAGCCTTTGTAATGAAATTGTAAATTATATTCCTCATTTGTAGAGGAAAAAGAACGCCTCACTCTCATCTCATTGTCTCTTTTCCCATCTCCAAATAAAACTCTCGCTGGTGTATTTGAAGTAATGAATATAATTCATTAAAAATAATACAAGGGTAAGTGTCATAGTAATTTTTGATGTGTTTGAACATTTTTATAAGCGCTTCTGTAATGCTAAAATGTCTCCGTGTCCCCGACTCTGTCATCAATCACATTGTTAATTTATTATCAAGCTCCATACACGCTTCACCTTGCATCTATAAATTGTAATGCACCAAAGATTATCTCTAGTTTTATTGTTTTAGTAAATAAACTGATCAAAGATTGTCTTATGCACTATTCTTGATTTCACTCGTGAAGGCACTTGTGCTACTAATATAAAAAATGCAATTCCTTTTATAAATAAGTTATGAAATCATAATTACTGATATTGATGTCTGTGTATGTTGCTAATTGTCTAATAATTGGTTTATGATGCCAACAATTCATAAATACTAGGGTTGGCTGTTCTTTTTGATATTTTGGAAAACTAGGTGAAATACTAGGGTTGGCTGTTCTTTTTGATATTTTGGAAAACTAGGTGAATTTTCCTTTCTCTGTTTTGCAATAACTTTCCTCCAGGTTTATGGGTACGTTAGAGATTATATTAGGAAGAGCATAGATGAATAAATTTTAAATCACCACGAAAAGAATGCAATCATAAATATTTGATGCAGTGTGACAAATAATATGGAAAGCACCAGATAAGGTTCAGCAATTTCTTAATTCATGGTTTAAGCTACTCCTTATGTTTTGTGCTGAATTTTATTTGATGACTGTCAGGATAAATTGGACCAGAAATTGTCATAATATTTTGGTTTAATCTTTTTTCTCAGGAACTGTTATGTTTTTGCTACGTTACTCTGATTTCTGTTACTCGTGGCAGGCTGACTTGCTTGACATTCTGGGTAAGTCGCAGTACTGGCAGCGGTCGGCTGGTCGAGATCATGTTTTCCCCATGCAACACCCAAATGCATTTAGATTTCTCCGTGATCAATTAAACGCATCCATTCTTGTGGTTGCTGATTTTGGGCGGTATCCAAAAAGTTTGTCCAGCCTAAGCAAAGATGTTGTGGCTCCATATGTTCATGTTGTAGAATCGTATGTGGATGATGATTCTTCTGATCCTTTTGAATTACGTCCCACACTTCTGTTCTTCCGGGGTAGAACTGTAAGGAAAGATGTGAGTGCAATACTTTTCCTTCATTTCATTGTTCTACTAAACATCATGCATGTATTTAAATGGAACTTTTTGGCGTTCTATTTTTGCAGGAAGGAGTTGTACGCCAAAAGCTGGCCAAGGTTTTAGCGGGGTACGGTGATGTGCATTATGAAGATAGCTTTGCTACTGGAGAGGGCATTAAAGCTGTGAGTCTTTTTATTGAGCTTGTAACTCCCCGTTGCCTCATTTTGGTTTATGATCAGTGAAGTTCCAATAGATAACATTTTTGTGGTTTGTTTTTTTTTTCTTACTTAAGATATCAATGCTACTATCTAAATCATGAACCTTTTCAGTAGTGTACAAAATTATTGAATCAGAGCTACATAGACTGTAGGAATGGTTTGGACTGGTTATATACAATTATTGTTATCTACGTCAATTATAAACAAAAGAAGTCATGGATTTTTTCTGCTTTGCATTAGTACAACCATGCAATCATTTAGTTGTGTATCGGTTCTGCAGTCATTTTTTATTTTCCCGTGTTAAGCACTCCTATTTTCAGGACATCAGGTTGAAGTAAACACACAAACCCGGTAATCACGTGGAAGTAAACACACATGCATACACTCGCATCAGTTTATTCAGACATGTACATGTCTTCCTTTTCTGTAAAACAAAAGATTTATCATCATTAAAAAAACCAGAAAGCATGTTTTGATTTGTTTTTCTTGCACAAAACATTCTTCTGTCTGTCCGGAGAATTCTTTCCTTTTTGGCATCGCAGCAGATATCATGAAACCCTCTCTTTTCTATTCTTCACTCATCAATTCAACTTTATTTTCTTGTTATGAGAAGATCTGTGTTGTAATTTACAAATTCACATAACTTATAAGCGCTTATATTTTTCTTAAATAATGCATATTTTGTTGTCAAGCTATTTCAAAATGCTCAAACTGAACTTCATACACTTTTTTGGCACTCCAGTCCACGCTCGGCATGCGGTCATCGAAGTTTTGTTTGCACCCTGCAGGCGACACACCCTCCTCATGCCGTTTGTTTGATGCTATTGTCAGTCATTGTGTGCCTGTGATTATCAGTGACCACATTGAACTTCCCTTTGAGACTGACCTTGACTACACAGAATTCTCCTTTTTCTTCTCAGTCGATGAGGCTCTACAGCCTGGTTACTTGGTTTCCCAGCTTAGAGCAGTGTCCAAGGATAGATGGCTTGAGTTGTGGAAGAAGTTAAAGCTTGTTTCCCACCACTATGAATTTCATTATCCTCCGAAGAGAGATGATGCTGTTAACATGCTGTGGCGGCAGGTACGTCAAAAACTCCCTACAGCCAAACTTGCTGAGCATCGGAGTCGACGACTGAAGATACCAGACTGGTGGAAGTGATGGTGGATAGTGCTGATAATTTTGATTTTCTATGTTGGTGATAATGAGCATGATGACAATGTTTGCGTTACAATCTTATTCTTAGGTCTCACAGAGTTTTTGATGGTTTAGATTTGTTGTGTACATAGTGGTTGCAAGACCTTTTCTGCTGCTACCATCATTGAGTGAATTTGTGACAACATGAGATTGTTTCGAGCAGAGTATTTATCCCCAATTGTAACTTTACAATTTTTGAACATTTTTTTTCTTCATAGTAAAGCTTTGATCTTAGCTATCTTTATGCTTCATGTATAATATCGAACATGAGTTATTGGTGATGTCTATCTGATGAATGCATGGGCTTTGAAATTAACTTTAATATTGCAGGTAAGTCGGATTTATTTTTGACTTGAATTGAGCTCGAATCAAAAAATTATGAACCAACTAACAAGGCAATTTCAACTTATATGGAAAAATAATCGAGTTGTAAATGAATTTCATCAAGTCAGATTGAGGTTGAGCAGATATGTATGGCCCACATTAATTAATTGGTTTAACTCTAGTGTGAGCCACTGTTAATGATGATGCCTGAAGATTTGCCACATGGCATGGTAATCCCCTCACCTGAGGGAGGATTGATGGGCTTTAATGTGTTTCATGTTGTCATTGTGCCATATCACGTGTCATTATGCCCATTGTATGATTGCTGACATGCTGTAGCTTTGGCGTCATCCACCAATGGTCAGGTCTTTGCCATGTAGTTCATTTTGAGTTGGTTTCATGTTGAGAAATGAGTCGTACTTGGGCCGGAAAGGGTTGTCTATAAAACTTGAGCGGTATTATGGGAATCGAGTAGCTTGGACTTGATATTAGTAGATGATTCCACCTTTCATAATTTTGAATTGAGCCCATCACCAGTGCAATAATGTAACATCTAGTATTGAAATCTAGATCTAAAACCTAGGTGTGGCGAGTAATTGTCAAAGATTAGAGCTCCAAATTTAGTTTCTTAATTCAATTTATAACATTGACCATCTAGCAATCTAGAGTAGAGTCCCAACTAGCTTCTGTGTGTGGCGAGTAATTGTCAAAGATTAGAGCTCCAAAGTTAGTTTCTTAATTCAATTCATAACATTGACCATCTAGCAATCTGACCTAGAGTAGAGTCCCAACTAGCTTCTGTATGACTTTGAAGATCCTTTATTCATAAGTCGTCATGTATACAATGTCTCCTTGTCATGTCTGACAAACCTTTTGAAGGCCCAACTATCATTCAACCGTCTGCCTATGTCATGTCTGACAAACCTTTTGAAGGCCCAACTATTGAAGGCCCAACTATCATTCAACCATCTGCCTAACACATAATTCTCTCTCAGTGTGACACATATTTCAAGACATCGATCTAACTAAAGTCTTAAACATATATCATTTATTGTGTCTAAGCATCAAGAGATGGGAATCCTATATCTCATACTTTTAAGACAGTCACCCATGGCTTCTTCAACAAAGTGTGCTTTACCTCAACCACCCTAATGCCAACATATATCACTATTTTCTTTCTTAATGAAACTTTTGGGAGATCATTTTTAGGGCACGAAATCTTTGCGTCTAAATATTAAGAGGCAAGAATCTCTTATCCCATACTTTTAAGACAATCACCTATGACAACATCGACCAAGTTGGCTTTACCTCAACCTCCCTAATGCCAACAGATACCACCCATCTCTTTCCTGAATGAAAATTTTGGGAGATCAATGTCAAGGGCTGAGCATTGTCTCATTGCACTGTGAATAGTGTCAATGAAGCCAAGACATGCATTAGTTTTTGAATTTTTATTTATCTTTCTCTACTTGCTTCTCTTTGTATACACAGAGACTTTTTAAATGTAGTTGTGGCATTACATGGACTTATTCACTAAGGAGCCTCACTCTCTTCTACTTCTATGGCCCCATCAACAGAGCTCCCTGATGTCCAGTCCGACCACACCTCCCAATGGGTTTTCTTTGCACTTGTTTTCCCTCACCTCATGACCATAATGAACAATGCTCAAGTTTTGTCTTCATGATCCCCCATCTATAAGCATGCGAACTGATTCTCGCCACTCTCTACCTCTTTTCCTCTTAACAATTACTCATAGTATGCCTCATTAAAGTCACTTTCTTTCCTTAAATTGGATGTATCTCAGGCCAACTGCATGATCATCACCGCCCACCTCTTTCCTTTGCTCACCAAGGAATGTATCTAGGCTGCTGACTAATTTTTGCCATTCACATATAAAGAGAAGAAAAATGAGAAGAATTGATGTGGGCTAGGGGAATTTACATGAAAGATTTTATTATATATATTTTTTATGAACTTTCAAAAAAACAGCCTTAAATCTATTCTATTGTAGGGATAATGAGGTAAAAATTATTAAAGGACCATAATAAAAAGGTATACAAAAAAAAAAAAAAAAAACTTTTCTTCACATCATGACAAAAGACATAAGAAGAATACATTGTGGCCAACGATATAACACTATTATATGAAATGTAATACAATTACTAAAATATAATAACATGAAAACAGAAGCTAACTTCTTCAGATTCATGCATTCTTGTATTACATAAATATTTTTTTCCCATAATCAGTCCTACTAAAAATATTATTGTGCCAATAATATTTGTGGAAGCTCTAGAGGTGGAGGTAGTTCTACAACTTTTGAATTTTTAGAAGGTTGAATAATAGGATTAATTGATTACTAACTTCAAATAGTGTTGGAACCTGAAGTCAGGAGTGCATCTTTTTTTCTTAGACATCTTTGACAACCCAAACTCCAAAAAACTCTAGCTAATAAGATTTGGAGTAATGCAGTGATCAACTTGTGTAACTTGGTCTTCTAGAGGATTAACTTGAGGAATTATTTAAGGAGAAATGTTTGGGGGGTCATTCATGCGCAACCTTAAGATCAAAGTCATCAATAACTTTGGCTTTAAAAATAGAAATACACTCATTTCTTTCCTTAGAAAGGTACTCATCAATGATCATCATCAAAGTTACATTCATAGTTCTCAAGAGACTTTAGAGAAAAGCATAAGAAAATGTAGGAAAGGTGCTCATGCTTCATGAGCGAATTTAGGATAACATTTAGTCATATTTTGAGGAAATTAACAAGATTATCATGTAGTGATGGTTTGAATTAAGTTACATAAGAAAGTTGAGAAGGGTCAAAAGGGCAAGGACTATGAGAATGGTCAAAATTGGTATAGAATTGATAATGACTCATTGATTTTATAGAGGGTAAGGGTTTTTTGAACTTATTGTAGAAGTCAAGAATTGTAATTTTTTTAATTAAGTATCAAAATTTTTTAATATCTACTTCCACCGACATAATTTCTATTATATTTTCTTAAAAAATAATTTTCCAAATGCAGATTCTTTGAAAAATAGAGAAAAATGTTCAATTCTTTCAATCAAGTTGCCTGTGTATTTTGCTGGCTATTTTATCTAGTGTAAGAAAATATGCATAAAGTAGAAAATGAAGTCTAAAAAATTCTTTATCGTTTTCAATATAATAAGAGATGGAAAAGATATTACATATTTATGTTATTAAAAAAACGCACACACAAAAGACATAAGAACACGAGAGATTTAACGAGGTTCGGCAAAGATACCTACATCACAAAGATGCCTACGTCCTCGGGAGCAGAGCGGCGAGTTCCTTTCAATATTCAGAAGAAAAGAATACATAATACAAAATTCAACTCTCTCAGAGACCTAGGATTACAGAATTAAATGGCTCACTCCTTGGGCATTGTTAGATGAGATTATGTTTAAGCTTAGACTTTAGACATATTAAGATTGTTTGTATGTATATCAACTCTGTTATAAAAGCTTATTTAATTTACTCCCTCAAATCTATCCTTAGGTTTATCGAGCTACCTTTATTTTAATGATTTGATTCTTTTCTTGTTGAAATAGATTTGGGTTTAGTTTGATCATTCTTCTAATGGCTTAGCTTAATCATTACACTATTAACTTGCAAAAATATGTCAACTTATAAAAAATAGAAAGTTGCTAGAAAGTTTATTTTGTTCATTCCGTTAATGGGATTTACACACAAAACTACCCAAAAAAATGAAACTACTAATTATAAAGAATTTAAAGTTAAGATTGTCGTTAAAAATTTTTTATCTTTGTTGATAGGAGGAGCAATCCATGGTACTCTCTTTTTCATGTTAAGTGACTGAATTTGTTGTAAATATTTTCCCTTATTTAACGGATGAATTTGTGGCACTTTTTATTCATTATTTAACAATGCTACGGTTGCCAATTTTGCCAACTCTTAGCTATTTCATGACATTCCTACTCAAACTAAATGTCAAAGATCTAAAATTTCAAATTTTCTTAAGATATTTTTACTGTAACGTTTTAGAGTTCTTTAGTAAATATACTAGTGACCTTATTTTCTGTTGAAACATATGGGGTGTAAATTAATCCACATTCTAGTTTCTTTTTTGTGTAATGCTTACTACCTCTACATATTTGATTCGATTATTTGTGTTGGATTGTGGGCAATTGTGATGGTAAACCTAGTGTCGTTATATATCCTTATATCCTTTCATTTAATTTTTAGATCATATAATATAATTTTAATCTATAGGATTTAACAAGTACTGGAGTAATTGCTTTTAAGTCAAATTTGGAACTTGAACTTGTGACACCATATTGTTCATTGCTTCTACATGTTTTCAAATACCTTACAATACCATGCAATATTTTGAAGTAGATCTCTTATCCAGATGAGATCTCGCATAATCAGCATTAGTATAACTGCACACTTCATTTTCTTTGAAATTGTTGTTGAGTTATAGTAGACGATTCATATAAATTTCTTCAACATTCTCATGTAAGAAGACATTTTTATATCATATTATTGCACGGACATTCCATATTAGTAGCTATAGAACTTATGATATGAATTGTATTCATTTTAAAAAATGAAGTGAAGGTATTTTTATAGTCTATTTTATATGATTGAAATTATTTTTTTTTCTACTAACCATGGTTTGTATCACTCCATGCTACATTTATTTTCTAATTTAATGGTAAAATCAACATGTATCCTATAAGTTTCTCCCCTTTTTGTAACTCAACTATTTTAAGTGTGATTATCCTACGGTATTTATCTCTTTTAATGACTAGGGCTATAAACGGGCTAGAAACGGGCCGAGCTTGAGCGAGCTCAGGCTTGGCTCGTGTTCAGCTCGTTCAAAATTACCTCGTGTTCGAAATTGGCTCGTGAACAGTTTTTTT